TTGGCTGGAATTTAAGGACAGATTCTAATATATTTGCAGGGTGGGGACTATAAATCTGATAGGATTTTTATCTTTTTATTGCTATTTTGCACAATATGCTTAACTTCCTATTTTTTGTTGTTGAATATTAGAGATTTTGCAGATATATTTTTTATACATATATTGTTTAGATTTACTTATATCTTTCTACCCCTTTTATAGAATAGAATAGAAAATCCCTTTATTTTCCCACAATGGGCAAATTTACAGCAGCAGAAAGATTATTGAAAATGGTCACACAAATGAGGACCTTAGAAAGATTTATAAGAATAACATAATAGGGAAGAGTTAAAATATAAACAATAAAATACTGTAAAGTGTTTTAACAATATAAAACTGGGGAATAAATAACCAATATGCAGCTATGGACATTTTTACAGTAATGGATATTTGAAAATAGCAGCAACATCAGAGATGTGCAGAATGACAGCAGCAGGTTATTTAACTGACTAAGGTTTCTATTTGATTTGATTTGTTCCTGCTCCCGGTGGTTGGAACATTTATTCCACTCTGGTTCTTGTGAGTGTAGTCTTTATTCACTTCACAATAAAAAAGAAATAAATAAACAGTTTTGAAAACTTCTGTATTCATTCTTTTCCTGCTTTGTGTGTCAACGTTCACGGTTGCTAAGCAACAGAGCATACGGCGGTAAAACCCGCCAAAGGGTAGACCTGGTCGAATTTACAGCCAAAACTCTTCCGGTCTCCTTATTTTCAAGGACTTCGAAGGATCCAGTCTAGGTAGACCGCGTCCTTGGAGGACCCGTCCTAGGTTTTCGAACAGAGCCTATATCTATATTTTCTCTTCAAGCTAAAAATGCACATTACTATTTCACAGTTAATACATTAGGAACAGATTTACTTCCATATATGCTTCCTATGCATCCCTGCTACGCATCAACACCTCTTGTGTTGAAACGTGAAACGATGATTTCATATAAAATCTTATTAATGAAAGATAATTCCACTGGATTTGGTTTCCTTCTATGTTTGCACCCACAGGCTGAAATAAACCAGGGCATCCTGAGAGGCAGAACTGGAAGTTAACCGTCAATAAAAAAGCATAATTATGGATTAAATAGAAAATTATATACATCAATAAGTTGGTTCTATGTTGCCTTTAAAACATTGAAGTTTTCAATCTGTCAGTTTATCCAGAAATAAGTTGAGCATTCACTGAATTCAGAGAGTCTGAGGTCATAAAGCACCATTTACCTCTAATGACGTGCAGCTTGGTCTGACCCAAGATGGCCGCTGTGTTAGCACTCCTCCCAGGCAATGACACAGATTTTATCAAAGTAAACTTGAAATTACCTGTCCAGAAGAAAAGCAACAACAAACATTTTCCCCTCATTTTGATGAAATTTGTCTTTTTTTTCCCCGCTTTGAATCTGAGAAAAAGAATAATGAAACTTATGCTACGTTCACACCAGACGCAGCAAAATGGCGTCTGCTGCTTCATTTTTGCTGCTTGTACCAGTTAGTTCTGACGCACGGCTGAAGCAGCTTTGCTGCTCTGGCTGCGTGGTGAAAAAGTGCTTCTGACGCGCGTTGGGCGGAGCTTCACTATCCTTTCTCTGCCTTGCAGCTTTATTTGCTGTGATCAGTGGGAATAAAGTAGTTTTAATATGTGTTTAAGTGAGAAAATCCACCTGAAAACGTAATCAGTGCCGTCAGTTCATCCAGATTACAATCCTGCCTTTCAATATTATTTCTGTCGGAGCCGCTCAGACCCCCACATACCAGCGGTGCGCCGACAGTAGGAATCCCTTCATCAGCAGCCTCTGGCCGGGTCGCCTCCTCGCGGTTCACCGCGGCAGCTGGTAGGTGTTTTTCATCTAAATAATCCAAACTGCAGGCAGCAGGATAGTAAAAGCGAACATATTCTGCCGGCAGATTTCTGCATTTTAAGTTAATTTAGGCATTAATAAACTGTTTCAGAGGAGTGATCACAGCGCTCTGTATCATCAGCGATGAGTCTGACTCCCTGCCAGCTCCCAGATCAGCTTCTCTGATTGGTTGACGCGGCGCGTCGAGCAGCAAAACTTCAAATTTTCCAATCTCGAGCAGCAGCGCGTTTGTGGCGCGCCACGCGCGTCAGATGCTTAAACACGCCCGACACGCTGCGCCTGCTGCTCAAAACGCGCAGCGGGACCTTTTGTTGCACCTTGACGCGCGTCAACCATTGATTTTGCATGTAAACTCGCTTATGGAAGGCCGACTGCTTTAAAAACAAGCGAATTTCCACGTGCAAACAACGCATGATTAATGCAATGTTTGCACGTTGTCTTCGCCTTTTAATCGGCCACATGTGGTTAACACGTTTAGAGCGCGTAAACAACGCGTTAATCACATGTTGTTTGCGTGTTTTTAAACCAGTCGGCCTTCCGTACTCGCTGCTTCTGTCGCGCCTGCTGCGTCCGGTGTGAACGCAGCATTACAGGTCTAGACGGGTAAAACATGTATATAGAAATTCATAAAACAATTATTAATTTTCACTTTAATACACTTTCAATGTTCTTTAAACGCAATATTTTAGAAAAATTAGTGACTTTTAACCCCTAGAACCCGACGGACCCACCGGTGGGTCCAGCTGCTACGTGACCTCGTAATTTTACCAAACCCCCAGTATTGATGTAAAAAACATATTTGGCACAGTTTGGTGTCATTTATGGATAAATGTGCTAAAATGGCCTCTCTGCCTAAGAAATTTCTCACTAATACCATTCTAAAATAAATATGATTCATCTGATTGAGTCCAAATTTGGTATATTTTTACACAACATTTAGATTTAAAAGTCTGTACTACTTTTTTGTGCTATAAATAATATTTTGGTAGTGTTTTGCAATGTTTATTTCAAAGAAAATTTTGGCGAGGTTCAAAAAATGCAAAATATTTTGTATTTTGTCCCTAATATTTCAGGCAGGGTCAAAGCTACAATGGTGCTGACACCAGAAAACCATTCTATGACATCTTACCTTTACAGACGTACCAAAGGTTTCTTCTTAAATCTAATAGCTTTGAGGCTATAAGTGATTTACTTTTGTGTGTTTTTGTCAGGCAGAAATTTATTTATACCCCCTGAGGGTGTAAGAGGTTAATGTTTTAATTCATATGATATCCCCCCCGCCTCAGTGGAAACAGAGAAAAGCTGATGTTCCAGTCTCCATCCCTCCAGTTTCTCCGGTGTTGACATGACAACAGTAAATGGAAGGACTGGTTCTTTACCCAGAAGATTGACGGCCGTCAACCTGCTGTCGACCTTTGAAACGCCGTCTGGGTGAGGTCATGATGTCATCGTGTCAATCATTCACTCTGAGACCTTTAGTCACGGCTCAGATTTTATCAGGCAGCACATGACGGCAGGTGAAGGTGTTCAGGCTCCATGTTCATTCCAGCCTTTACTGCGGGACGTTCTTCAGACCAGAACCTGGAACCAGAACCTGGAAGTAGAACCTGTCTGGGACCATCGGGTCTGGAAAGAATGATGCTGCCCACTGGTTCATGATGTAACTCGTTCAGCCCATTTAGGTTCAGAACCAACTCCATGATTGGTGTTGGAAAATTTAACCCCAAACCGGCTAAGATTCTGGGTCAGCTGAGCAGAACTCTGACCCAGTTAGCGCTCCCAGCGAATCCCGTTAGAAGCTCAAATCAGATTCTCTTTCTTTTTGGTTCCTTAATGCACTGGAAAAACAATCTGGAAAATTAAAAACAATCCAGACTTTGTTTCCAAGTTTGAAGACGTTTCGTTTCCCATCCAGGAAGCTTTCTGCAAACTTGGAAACAAAATCTACTGGATTGTTTTTAATTTCCTTTTTTTTTGGAAGGACGATGACCAGCAATCTAGAAATAAGTCCACATTTCTTAAATTAAGTGTATTTACCCTTGATTTAATAGGTAAATGAGATAATTAGCCAATGGAAAGAGAATTTTTACTCTTAAAAGGAGATAATATGCATTTGAAATAAGACTATTTTAAATCTAAATTGTCTTGTTCCGTTGGAAATATCTTATCTTCTCAATTCAAGAACAAATTCACTTATTTTAAGAAAAAATTGACTAGATTTTGATTTTTTTTTTTTGCAATGTGCTAGTCCATATTTGCCCAGCATTCTGATAAATCTTCACATTTCCTCATGAAGAAAAGTTCCTGGTTCTATCGGCCCATTAACCATGGGATCCGGAACCATATGGGGCCCGATCTACGACCCAGTCCCTTAAGAAAATTTAATAGATTTATTAAAAAAACTAAGTTAAATGTTTTATTTTAAGATTTACATTTTTTTGTTTTTTTACTTCCTGAGAATCAAAAATCAGCTCTAAACAGGAGCCCTTGCAGCAGAGCATTGTGGGTAATGTAGTTTAACGTAGGTTGGGTTCACACTGGTTTCCTGTAGAGCCTGTGATGGATTTAATGCTGCTTTTGACGCCTCAGTGGGTTAGCAGACGCTGGTTCTGGTTCTGACTTCATCTGTGCTCCAGGTCCGATTGAGGCGTCAACGTTTCCTTTATTACAAAAACATCAAACAAATGAAAAAAGCCCAAAGACTTAAAACACGATCAGAACGAAAATATGGAAAAGAACCTCAGCTTTGAAGGAAGTCGGAACACAGCAGAAATTTTAGACTCAGGTTTAATTTATAACCCCCCCCCATATAAAAAAAAAGAAAATGAACCCCCCCCCCCGTATTCTCATGCATCATTTCCCTTTACAACATGCTGCTGCTGCTGGAGAAGAAGAGACAGTAGAAAGTTGACCAGGCTGCTGGGTTCAGGGCCTCAGCAGAACCTCTCTGGTCGGTCCGATCCGATCCGACGAGTCCAGGTTTCTACAGACACCTGGCAGGTCACCTCTGACCCCAGGAGGACCTGATGATCCACTCAGGTCGAGCATCATGTTTCCATGGGAACCAGAGGCCCAGCAGGAGGGGGGGCAGAACTCCTGAATGTTTCTCCCACTCAAAGGAAGCGGGTTGCTATGGTGACCAGGTTTAAACCGGGTGAGGATTCCTGGACCAGAACCGCAGATTAGGTAACTCTGTTTCTATCTACCGACCCGCCGAACCAGAGATGCGGTTCTACTGAGGAGGCTGGTTCTGCCTGGGGCAGGGCGAGCAGCTTCCTGTTCCAGAACCCGTCTGGCGGTTCTGATGGCTTCTCTTTAGATTTGGACAAACTGATGGTTCTGGTCCAGCTGAACCGCTTATAAGGTACAGCTGGTTCTGGTCGGCTAGAACCGAGAAGCGGAAGGTTTTCTGCGTCGCCTCCTCAGATGGTCCTGACAGAACCTGAGCCCGTTCCCTGCCTCTTCTCCCTCCTGGTTCCAGAACCAGAACCAGCTCAGACACAAACACTCCACTGATCCAACAGAAAACATGTGCAACATTGCTGAGAAAACCCGACGCTGAAGGACGGTTCTGCCTCCTGAGTTGGCGGGCCGGCTCCGACCCGCATCAGAGTCACACTGGAGGTCCAGCAGAACCGCCTTTTAACGCCGCCGTGTAGTGAAAGGTTTTAAAATCTGGGTGGAATAAAAACGTCGTCACAGAACCGAGCAGGAGTCACGCAGCGGGAAGGTTCTGACAGAACCAGTTCAGTCCGGCGCCGCTCCTCATCCGCCCGGTCAGGAGGCGGGCCCAGGCGTCAGTCTCAGATTTTACTGGATTAGAGGGAAAGTCGTTTCTGCGGGTGACATGATGAGAAGGGGTGGGGCAACGTCTCCAAGTGACATCATGAAAGGGGCGGGGCCGCAATGGAAGTAATGAAGAAGATCCATGAAGAAACGCGGAGAAGAAAATGAGGCTTGTTCCCAGAGAACCTGCAGACGTCCCCGTGGCCCCGCCCCTCACTGCCCATTGGTGGGATTGCTGTTGGGCGCGGGGCTGGCGCCCTCCACGCCGGCTGGCGGCTGCACGTTGTCGGCCAGATTGTGAGCGTGCTCCAGGAAGAGGTCTTTGAGCACGCTCAGCTCCTTGCTCAGCAGCTTGATCTTGGCCTCCAGCCGCTCGTTCTCCTCCTTCAGCTCGTTGACGCGCTGCTGTGTGTCCATCGCCTTCTGCTTGCTGCGCATGCGACTCTTCTTCACCGCCAGGTTGTTGCGCTCGCGTCGCTGCCGGTACTCTTCGCTGTCCTTGTCCACCGTGGGCTTCTTCATCTTGCTCGGGGGGAGGGCCTTTCCTCCGGCGGTAGACGGGTTGGCGGGGATGAGCTGGGGGACCTGCTGCAGTCCGGCGACGGCGGCCGGCAGGGATGAGGAGGAAGAGGCGGCGTGGGCCTGGCTCTGGATGACGCTCACGCCGTTGTGGTCAGCTGTGGTGAGTTTCGGCTGTTGCGGCCGGCTCATTTGGATGTGCTGCCTGCAGGAGCTGAAGTTTGAGTGGAGCCTCCTCAGGTGTACAGATGAAAGAAGGGACGGGAGGAGCAGGAGCAGACCTGGAGGAGGAGTTAAAGACCGGGCAGCGGTTAGAACCTCCTAAACCAAACAGAACCCAACAGAACGACCGGATAACAAACAGCTTTGGTCACTACTGCTACAGAATGGCCCGGTCCCCAGAGGATGGGGTCTCGGTTACGTAGTGAACCGGCTGAAAGCCGGGCCTGATTTAACACAACCTTTCCACTAATTCCATGTTCAGCTTTTGAGGATAAAATTTTAGGATTTATTTTGTATTTTTAGAACCAAACATGGAAGCAACTGAATCACGAGCAGATCTCTCCCTAAATTAAACATAAAAACAGTTCCTAATCATAAGCAAAGAAAGGAATTGAGGATCATCTAAATGATTTTATTTTGATGGTTAAATTTGGAAAAATGGTCCTCACTCTGTATGGAGAGCCATTTCAGCCAAAATTAAATAAATAAATAAATAAATAGGCTGCCATTGTAGCCTGAAGACACCGCCCCTCATTATCATATTAAAGCAGAAGCGAAGAGGGGAATATAGAATGTGATAAATTAAAAAAATAAGGAAATGCTTAATGAATAAGGGAAATTGGAAAATGGGAAAATTAAAAATAGATAAAAGAAAATGGGTAAGTAAAAAAAGGGATATATGAGAAATTGATTAATGAAACTGGGAAATAGAAAATCGGGTTAATGGAAAAAGTAAATTGAAAAATGGTTAAATAAAAAAATAGATTAATGAAAAATGAGTAAATAAATGAAGGGATAAATGAAAAATGGACAAATGAAAAATAGATAAATGAAAAATAGATAAAACAGAAATTGAGAAATAGATAATCTGAAAAATAAATAAATAAAAAAATTAGCTTAATGAAAAAGGGAAATTGAAAAGTGGTTAAATGAAAATTAGATTAATGAAAAATGGGTAAATGGATAAATTGGGAAATTGATAATATGAAAAATAAATAAATTAAAACTTGGTTTAATGGAAAAGCTAAATTATTTATTTAACAAATGTTTTATTTATTTCACTCATTTTCTTCATTTATTTTACTCATTTTTTATTTATTTCACCCATTTATTTATTTATTCAATTTTGGCTGAAACGGCTCTCCATAACTCTGATGCACAAACAGGAGAACACACACAGGCAATAATAATGTTCTTGTTGAAATAAATTCATTATCTTATTTTATTTAAGATTTTATCTTGATATCTGGATGATTTCATTAGCTTGTTTTTTCTGATGCCACTGAGGAACAAATATTCCACTCTGGTCGTCAGGCCGCCATTCCTGGTTACGTGACTCCTTCTACTATCAAGCAGCCGCCGCGCTGTGATTGGTCGGCGCGTTGCTATGCAGCGGCCGGGCTGTGTGTAGCAGAAAGCGCTCCGGGTGAAACAGCGGATGGCTGTTGCCTACTGTTGCATCATCACTGAGGGGAACTCCAAGTCATGCGGGTGTTTAGCACAAAGCTGACTTTTAATAAGCTCACCGAACCGAACCCGGTCCTAAATCAACACATAAAACTAACAGAACGTAAAAACGACGCCGGACACGTCAGTTTATAAGCGAAACGAATATTTTCCCGGAAACAGGATAACTTTTGGTTCTATTAAATCATATTATTCGCGGTTTTCACCGTAGATTATCGGGCCGTTGCTCTTAGAATAACTCCTGTTGGAAGTTAGACCCAATTTTAGACCAAATTTGGGACATTTTCTCTGCTTTTATCCGAACCAGTTAGCCTGTTAGCACCCACTGCTTACGCTCTTCGAGAACAAATCTCCTTTTCTAAACAAAAAAAAATCTGTTTACCTTCAACGAATGGTCGTGGATTTCACCACTCGTGTAATGGGACAGATGTGGGTCTGGAAATGTCACTTTAATCCGTCTCTGACCGCTCTCACTGTTTTTGTTTGGAACATAGACAGCAGCCGATTGCGAAATCGCTCTTTACCATGTTCGGCAATATTCGACGTCAGCCAATCAGGGAGTAGAAGGCGGAAGCCAAATCAGCTCTGGACCAATCGGAGGTCAGTATTTAGAAAAGCAGCGCGACTCCTTCCCAGAGTGACATTCGAAGTGACCAATAGAAAGCCTCTTTTCTGTTGATTTTGTTGATGTAACGTGAGGTTGGTCGGATGAGTTCAAACATGTATGACTTCATCTGATCCTGCCTTTTTTTTAAACCGTGATGGTTCCTCATAGATCATTTACCGAATAAATACGATAATAAAATAAAAATATTTAACAATTGCTGCCTCTTTTAGGAAAAGAGAACAGTTTAAAATAGTCTTAGAAATCTAATTAAGGTTCTTTGCGACCTGGTTTTTATTGACATATCATATGGTTTTTAGCATAAGCGAATATGAATAATTAAAAATATGATTTATATTGATTCCAAAATAGGAGTTAGTGAAATAAAGCTCTTTATTTTACATGGACCTACCTTGCAGGACATAATTTCAACCTGGGATCATTAAAGTATTTCTGATTCTAAGGAGAAAGGAGACCTTAATTTTATTCTGTAGAGATAATTATTGGCAAAATTTAATCTAAATGTTTGTTATAAATATTTGTTACTGGTGTTGATATAGTTCATTTTAATCCTGTCAGTAAATAATTCTATATTTCATTCAAAAATGTAAAACCCTTTGATCATTTAGATCTATTTCATTCAGAATCAGAAATATGTTATTGTCATTGCGCAATAACAGACAATTACACTTTTAAAATAGCAACTATCGATGGTGGTGAAAACAAGCAAATATTTATTTAGATTGAAAAATACAAAATGATCAGGGTTTATCAATGTTGATTTCTATTGATTCTGGTTCATAGATAAGAAAATCCAAAACTCAGTACCTGAGAAAATTACAGTAGGATCTGAGACGCAGGCAGAACAATAGGTGCCTGTTCTGTGCAGGAGCTGCAACCTGTAGTAGATTGGAGCTGCTTCTGCATGAGGTTCTCTGTCAATGCAAAACGATACGGAGAAAATCAGCTTATGGTTTTGCCGAGAAATTCAGGAAGCTTTGGAATTTTTTGGAGCTTATAAAACCATTGGACTGATAGGCACCAGAAACCATAACTTCCCAAAACATCACTAACATTAACATGAATGGAAAATTAGCCTCAGATAAGGAGGTTAAGATTCAATTCCATTCAATTCAGTTTATTTTTACAGCTACAATTCACATCATGTCATCTCAGGTCACTTTCCAGTTCACCAGATCATCCAGTCAGATTGATTCAAAGTTTTCTATCTAAGGAAAACCAGCTGATTGCATCGACTCATTGACTCTTCAGCAATCCCTCACACTAAGTATGCTTGGAGCCAAGGGCGTAGGAATATGTTTACAATTGGGGGGGACACATGTCGCAAATCTGAGATTCGTAAATATTCAACAGAAACATATCTTAAGTACGCTACTTTAAAAAGGCTATTTAATCTTTTTCTTTATTCCTTTATAAATGTGTTTGCAAAAATAATGCATTTAAAATTAACATAATGCATTTGTTCATAAGATGTGAGCATATCACCAAACAAAATGACTGGAGTCTTTTATTAAGCAAAGGGAGATGTCTTTCAAGGGCTTCAGCCCTTGGCATATTTAGTGTCCGCATACGCACTAGAAAATCAAAACAATTCAGTAGGCCACACAAGTGCAAAGTTTGATATGTTTTATTTTGTCAAACTTGCAATAATGGTCAAAAATGAATTTATATAGGTTGACTGACAGAGGGAGCTGACAGTGTGTTGAAGAATTATGGACAGGGCGCTTTGAAGCATCTGGTTCAAAAACGCATTCTGAACCTTTGGTAGAAATCCATCCATCCTTCCATTTCTGTACACCCTGTCCCTTAGTGGGGTCGGGAGGTGCTGGTGCGGGGTCCACCCTAGACAGGTGGCCAGTCTGTCCAGACCTTTGGTAGAAATGGCGTCTTTAATTCCAATTTGCAGTACAGAACAGAGAAAACTACAGAGTTTTCAATGTTGTGTTAATCTGTTTATAGTCTAAAAAGAGGAGCCAGCAGTTTATTTGAGGAAATAAAGGTGCAGAAGTTAATTAGTTGGTTAATTAGTGGTTGTGCAGCAGTCCGCTGCACGACCAATGCGGCCGCCGCTGCTAAGAATTAGAATTAATTCTCCCTGTGGTTTTAACTAACGATCAGGAGCGCGGCAGGTATAACATCTGTCCATTTCGGCAAATCAAAACCATGCAAAAAATAAAAAATCCTCGTAAAACGCACGCCCAGACCGGGCTAATTTCAACACAAGTTGTGTTAGGTGACTGTTACTCACACTGACGTTTCTCTTTAAAATAAAATCTGAGTAAGTCCTACTGCTGTTTCAGCCTTTTAGTTGGTGGTGGCAATGTACTGAAATGAGATATAAAAAAAAATATATAAAAAAAACATTTTGGCTAGCGTAGCAAACGTCTAGAGAAAGTTAGCAGTTAAATATCGGATGAGTGATCAGCCCAAGACTACGGAAGAGGATTAGGGCCACTGGAAAAAAAAAAGTTAAGTGATTTTTACATTTTATTTCAGTTTAATACGGGAAAAAAGTCAGAATTCTGACTTTTATTTTCAGAATTAAGACTTTTTTTTCTCAGAATTCTGACTTTAATCTCAGAATTCTGACAGAATCTGACAGAATTGTGGATCTTAATGTAGATAGGCACCATGAAGGCAGAGATGTGGAGCACTCAGCTTCACTGACAAAGATGTGAGTTGTTTGAGATGGCCAGTGACACATTGGTGGAAAATGACAGAATTAGGCAACTTTTTACGTGCCCGAGGGGTCCCCTCATTAATGGAGGAGCAGAAGGTCATTAAAACAAGAGAGCTAGTCTCTAAAATAGACATGCCTATGGCTTGATGCTAACATGTTTGTTGTTAAACATACTTTTGTTATATTACATTTGTGTTGTGTTTTCCAAATAGTGTAGAAAATTAATGGTGGGTTTATAATGTTTACCTTTTATGAGCAGGACAGGAAGCAGAGAAGTGTAGCATTACCTCCAACTAGTTAAACTCATAATTATGAAGTTATTCAACAAATTCCTCAAGTAAAAAAGTGCAACTTTTATTTTTTATTTATTTATTTATTTTTACCAGATTTGGTGATTAATTTCAGAATTATGTATTCCTTCCAAATTTCCAAATCTGAAGAATTTTTTAAACCAATATCTACATTATTTAACATTTAGTTTGTTTTAGCAGTACTTCCTGTTATATTTCTTTATACGTATATTTTACATTTTCTTGCACAGCAAGCTCAGCAGATTTGAAATTGTGTGCTTGTGTAAACACAAGTAGTCAATCTTTACTCTAAACATATATTCTGGTTATTTTTTAGTTAGACATCTGTCAGATATCTGAGAAAAAAGTCAGAATTCTCAGATTAAAGTCAGAAATCTGAGAAAAAAGTCAGAAGAAAAAAGTCAGAATTCTGAGATTAAAGTCAGAATTCTGAGAAAAGTCAGAATTCTGACCCCCCATGTTAAACTAAAAAAAAAAAATGTAAAAATCAGTTAACTTTTTTCAGTGGCCCTAATCCTCTTCCTACAAGACTAAGATGCCTAAACCAAAAAGATTCAGTTTCTATATATGAAAGTGAACTGACAACAAGACGTTATAAATAAGCACTATTCATAGCAGCATCCCGACAGACCATTTTACCTCATTAACAAGTTTCTGACTTTCTGTATCGCTGTTTCCCTCTGAGTGCTCAAACACTCAACAGTTCACAGAGGGGAGGGGGAGTACAGTGACGTAACGCTATGCTGCGCCTTCAAAATAAAAGCACGATAGTTAAAAAATTGTCAAAATCTAATATTTTGCGGTACAATTTTTGGGGGGGACATATCCACCTGGCTTTTATATTAGGGGGGACATGTCCCCCCCGTCCCCCCCGCTTCCTACGCCGCTGCTTGGAGCGACAGTGGAGAGGAAAAACTCCCTTTGAACAGGAAGAAACCTCCAGCAGAACCAGGCTCAGTGTGAGCGGCCATCAGCTGAGGCCCACTGGGGTTCAAGGAGACAGAAGCAGACATAGAAAAAGAAGCATAGATACAAAAGGCAACTGTCAACCAGCTCCACAGGCGGCCCCGTCCAGGAAACACACAGCCAGGCAGACGAGCTCCGAGCCAGCTCCCATGTCAGAGGATGAAGAGAGCACATCCAGTTAGTCAGAGTCAGAGAAACAGGACCACACTGGAAAACAGGCCAAGCTCCAACATCTAGAAACAAAGGTGTTGATGGCAGCAGCACAGCTGATATTTCTCTCCTGGATGGAGTCACAGCCAAACAGGAACAGACCAGATGAAGCTACTATGAGAAAAAGCAGAGAGAGCAGAAGGTTAGAGATTGAACTAACAGATTCTGCAGAGTGGGAGAATAGAGATAGAATGATGCAGAATGTTATTTTTTTAACAGAACTTGTCATTTATTTCGTTAACTATGATTACAAAATAGGAGTTAATGAAATAAAACTCTTTTTTTTTTACATGGACTTACCTTGCTGGAGAAGAAAGGAGACCTTAATCTTACTATGTAGAGATACATTTCTTACACCTCCTAATCTTCAACTGTTCTAATCCTAATCTGTAAAAATAGCCTAATTCTACATGAAACAACCCTTCATAAAGCAAGAGCATCTCTCTTCATTAATAGAGAATAAGAATAATCCTAGATTATTTTCAACAATTGAAAAAATAATGCAACTATTTTTGGCATTTACTTAATCATGTTTAGTTACTTTAACACAATTGTTTCATGTAAGCAGGGTAGGACATAAATCAATAGCTCTACCTTGACCATGCTGTGGCTCTAGCTTTCGTATACCTCGTCCAAAATGCTTAGGTTACGCTGAGCTGTTTTCTGCATTTGTGCTGTTAAAGGCATAGACTGCTGGAGGACACAGGGACCCATTTTCATCATTCCATCTCTATTCTCATATTCTGCTGCTT